TCTGAGATCCTGGCTACCAGCCTTGCCAGCTTTAGCCCTTAAAGGGTTTTGACCTCCATAAAGGAGATTTCAGCAAAACAGTAAGAAATTCCTGATGGCCCAAATGGTTAAACAATGGAACAAACTATGTAGAAAAATGGGGAACTTTTGTTAAGAGTTTTTTGCATGCTTTCTTCTAACTGAATGCTTCTACGTAAACTGCTGAAATTCGTGTTATTAGGAGAGATTGGACTAAACTTGTTTTTTGCTTGAATTTCTACTGCCATTTTAAAGACTATGCAGCACTCCTTATGAAAGTGTCATTCCCTGTTTCCCTGATTACAGTTAGGTTTCTTTAGTGGTTCTGTTAAAAGCAGAATACGGTTAATATTCAGAGAAGGGAGGTCACTGCTTTCCATTCCTTGTTAAATTAAGACATAACAGAATGTAAAGCGTACATGGAAACAAATTGCCCAACTTGCCTACCTTTATCCTGTCCTAATTACTATATACGTTGGTCCACCTACTCAGTAGCCTGCGCCTTATTTCCTGGAAGTAAGCACCATTGAATAAATATATATAGGATGATGCTGGTTTGAGTGATTCATTCTTTTTAAAAAAGGTATGGCCTCCGTTGAGCTCAACTTCTGTTGACTTCAAAGACACATCCATGTAGTTTTATTGACAAAGCAGAAATGATTTGCCACTGCCTTTTTCTGAAATATGTTTTCAGCCCAGCCAACAGCCCTGGGATGTTTGGTGGACTTCCATACAAGTAGTTATCGACCCCACTTAGCTTTTCAAGATCAAGCTGGCAATGCTTCAATCTGGATGCCATTCTTTGCCTGCCTCTACAGCTGTGTCCTTGCCATCAGAGCTGCTGATCTAACATAATGAAGGTAATCAGACAAAATTAACTGGGATCAAGAGTGGTCATGTTCAATGCAAGAGACAAAAGCATATTCCTATTGAACTGCCTACCTAAACGTTCACATTCTAAGTTGAATATAGGTTGTGCACTTAGCCAATGCATGGGGATAGCAAGAAGGAATAGTATCAATTCCAATATGGAAAATGGGATGGAGCAGCCACCAGAGGAGTAATGATGTAGCAGTTAAATTTAAGCACAAAAATACCATCTCCAAGTGCAGATTCAGGTACATTATCTGATTTCTATCCAACCATGACAATGCAAATGGAAGAAACTATTAGATGACTGCTGTTTCTCTGTCTTGCCCACGGAGTGGGGCATATTAGTTATCTCACTAGCCAAGGGGGTATAATCCATTGTGCTTCCTGTTTTTTCTCAGGAAAAGGATTTCGGTTTTACAGTGTTCCTCTGGCCTTCTGCACAGAATATACATGGAGCAAAGCACTACACACATTGCAAAACCACCAGAGGCCTTTTAATTCATTGCTTGTAAGGGAGTAATGCCTCTTTCCTCCCATCCCAGTTGTAAGACCTGAAATAAACCTGGGATTACAAATGGTAAAGCCTGAAATAAACCTGGGATTATAGATTTAAGCACACCTTCCTCCACTCATTTGTGCTATCTCAACAATATAGGGGGTGAAACCTGCATCGGCTAAGGTCTTCCCTCTTCAGCACGTCTGGACCCTGAACTATTTCTGTTCAGCAGTGTGGCAATTATGGAGTTCAGAGATCCTACAAGAGAATATCAGCTCTCTGAATAATCAAGCAAAGCTGATGCTCTCCCAGGTTTGTCCAATGAAGGTGTACTCGTTTTATGTCATTCCCAACATTCCTAGTAGTTTATCTTCACCTTTTAACTCATGACTTTCATAAACTAAAAACAATTAGAGCTCTTAGCTTGGTTCCCCTCTTCCTAGCATCTGTGTTTTAACAAGCATCAACTAGTGCCAGCAGCCATGCAAAGGCGGCAGAAATAATCATGCTTTTGAGCTTGCCCTCTGGAATGTGGTCCCCCCCCCCCAAGATTTTAACGGCCTCCACCCTACTGGTGTTTCAAAGGGCCCTGAAGACCTGGTATTTCTCCCAGGCCTTTGGCAAGCATTTTCTTCATTTTCTTTTTTCCATCTGGGTTTGTTATCTGACATCTTTGTTTTTTGTTTTGTTTTGAAGTCTTTTTAGCAATTTGTAAACTGCCCAGAGTTGCTGGGAGTCAGGCAGCATGTAAATTTAATAAATTATTAAATTATTGTTATCTTTGAAACTGCCTAGACTATTAGCGGCATCCACGGGGTGGGGGTGGGGGGTCAAAACAGACAAAATGGCAGACACAGCAGGGCAACCCAAGTCCTACTCCTTTGTATGTACATGCGATATTAATGCATGAACAAAAGGGGCACAACTTGGATCACAATGCTCTATCTGCCACCTTGCCTCTTTTGACCCATCACCCACAGGTGCTGCTATAAAGTATACAATTGTAAAGCAATAGCAAGCCAAACAAGGTTCTTACACAGAGCGCTGAACTGTGTGCATCAAACAATCAACCAGCAATGTCATGGTACCCAATGCATATTGAAATGCACCTCAGTGATAAAAGGGGCAGAAATGGTGTTTGTTTTAAGGCAAGAATCTAATTCTTGCAGGCGTCTAAATTACACAAATTACATTTCCACACATACACAAGGAAAATGGACATTTCTGTCTTTTTCTATCTGGCAACTAGACTTTCAGATGTTGTTCTTATTTTAGGTATCCCATCTCTAAAATATTTCAAATTCTGTAACAATTTCAGAGTGTAGCTTCTGTTTCATAGGACACCCAGTCCATAATTAAGCATCAATAGAGGTGAATATGTGTAGCTCAGGGTTGAACTGTGGAGTCGTTGGGGTTCTCTGAGCTTGGTTCTTTTCTTGCAAACGTTTCATTACCCGGCTAGGTAGCATCTTCAGCGCTGAAGATGCTACCTAGCCGGGTAATGAAACGTTTGCAAGAAAAGAACCAAGCTCAGAGACCCCCAACGACTCCATAATTAAGCATCAATAGAGGTGAATATGTGTAGCTCAGGGTTGAACTGTGGAGTCGTTGGGGTTCTCTGAGCTTGGTTCTTTTCTTGCAAACGTTTCATTACCCGGCTAGGTAGCATCTTCAGCGCTGAAGAACCCCAACGAACCAAGCTCAGAGAACCCCAACGACTCCATAATTAAGCATCTCTACTCAGGAATAAAACCCCACTCATTTCAATAAGCTTACTTTGAGGAAAGTAGCAAACGACTGCACAGCCTGCTTTTTTAAGGCCTGAAAGTGCTTAAGATGCTGGAGATGGAAAGAAAATGAAAACCAAGACATTTGGAACAAGTACTTTTCAAAAACGTGGTGGCGATGCTTTCCTGTAATAACTTCTGCTCCAGTTCAGTGGTTCAGACTCGCCTTCATTTCAGCAGATGCATCTTATCATACCAATAAACTGCACATAAATAAAAGCAGGCTTCTGAACTCACTTTCAGAGCGCTGGGGAACACAGAAAATTACAGGGCCCGCATAAAGAATTCCTACTTCAAATTGGCAATCATCTAAAGGACAGCAGCTAAAATGGGTTGGTATATAACTACTCATAGGTTACCAAGCCAGATCCTTTTGCATAGTGGGAGAAGGCTGTATTTTCTCTGGTTTCTTCTTTCCACCATTTTGTTAGAAGTCAGCTGATACAACCACAGTGAAAAGGAGGGAACCGCTTTGCTGGCTGGTTTCACAAGAGAAAAATGCCATTTAGTTTCTCCACTCCCAGGACACCCTCTGATGGTGGTTCTGACAGTTGTCTAATAGTTTTAACAACTGGGGCTCCAAATTCCTTTTCTCTCCCCTTCCCTCCCTCCTCATCTATTGTGCCCTTCAGTTCATGTTCCATTATTTCAAACCGTAAACCCCTTTGAATGAATAGGTGAAAATATGTAAACCATAAAACGCTTTCCACAAAGATGAAAACAAGCAGCACATGTTCAGTTACTCTTTTTTAAAACAGCAAAGAAAGCCCCGTTGTCCAAACTATGTGTTCGAGGGAAGCTCTCACCAATACGAGACAAACTGAGTATTAGAAGTCATCTCTGCCAGAGGAGATACACTTACAGTTAGCCAAGAGATATTTCCCTCCCTCCCCCTCCCCAAAACACTCAACAACAGGTAGGCATCAGAGTCAGGAGCATACAGGCCCGCCCAAGATTTAAGAGAAGGCCTGGCTAAGTCCCCAGTGACACAAGTTGTCCCAAGTGAAACTTGGCTGGAATAATTACAGGAGAGTTGATATGCCAGCAGAGAAGCTTATGAGTACAAGGGATGGTCCATGGGGTGGCAGATCATCCTCTCCAAAGAGGATGCTTCGGTTGTGGTCTGCGTGTCCAGAATCAAGAAGCTTCTTGTTTACTTTAGCCGATATGTCCAACATTTCAAGAAAGTTCAACCAAGTTGGCCTTGATAACAAATCCTGACAAAAAACAGCACAGGAGCAAGGCAGAAATGCCTGGGCCCCTGAAGTCACTAGCAAAGGTTGGGGATAGGTGCACATCTGAACACCAAGTAAGGAACTGTGTACAAAGTCCAAGCCCTGCTTCAGGCTTCAGTACCCATGCTCTTCAGTCACTCTTATCCCATCCCAAATCACATAAACATCTTATTTATGGTCCTATTTCTCATTCACTTGAAGTTAATCCTAGACACTGTACACTCTGGGCTCCAATGATCAGTGGGATCGGGGGGAGGTGGTCACAAGAGGCAGAATGGCAGCTGCTGCAGTGCAACTGAAGCCCCACCCCTTTTGTACACATGTTGTCACACGCACAGGCAAAGGGGTGGGGCTTCCATTGTGCTGCTGCAACTGCCTCTTTTAACCCCCTCCCCTACCAATGATGCCATTCTCCAGGTGTTGTTTGGTAAATTTTATTCCATTTCTAACAGTCCCATTCTCAAAGTGGTTAGCACTTTGGAAAAAGGATCAAGGGAGCCTGAGGTTAGGAAGGAACTGGAATAAAAGGGCCCACTGGATTTCAACCACATTTGGGCATCAAGAGCAGAATATAAACCCACCCTCCCTCCCTCCTGCTTAAAGCATGAAACAAGAGCACCAATGGGGTCCAACAGAAGCAAAAGGGTCTCACAGCTGGAGTTTTGAGCCTAGATCTGACCTCTGCCAGAGATATATCAGGAGAATCCCTTTCTCTATTTCCCACTCATCTTTTCTACATGCTTGGCTTTTCAGCACATGGGCAGTCTGTCACTCACTCAGACCTAGTCTATTAAGGACAAACATCATAGAAGCGCTCATAGAGACAGCTAAATTTTAATACCAAAGGAGTACTGGAGTGAGGAATTCCAAATGCCCTCACAATCCACAGCTTAGCTCTAGCAGAAGTAACTTTGGTTGAGAGAAAACCGTCTGAAAGAGTAGAATGTGGGGAGGTAAATTGGGGAGGAAGAAAGGCTTGGCTCCCCTAATCAGCACATCCTGTTTCATATTAAAAAAGAAAAAAAATGAAATCACCCCATGGAACTACCACTTGATCACATCTATTTTTAACCCCAAGAGCCAAGATATTGTAATATTAGGTGAGGTGGTTGAAATCTGATTTTGTAGCTTCAGATTTTAAATCCTGGTGGTACATGTATATATTTATCACTCAGGTAAAAGAGAAAAAATTCTCCTCTGCACGAAGTAAACTAGCACATTGAAAAGACAGGCTCAGTAGAGGTATCTGTGATATGTTTGCTATTCAATGCAGGGAGAGGCTATTTTTGTTTTTGTTTTCAAAAGTGAATAATTTAGAATGATGATCCTCTTAATACAACCATTTTGAATGAGTCCTAAATTCCATCATCTCTCTGTTACACTCACTCGCTTATATCTCATGTCTTTGTTCCCCAGTTCCTCAAGCAACCAATTACATATGAAATGTCAATTTCAGCCCAAAAGCTTAAGCTTTGTACTCTGGATTAAGATCACGTAATGGAGATAGTTGGCTCCGACAGATGATGGAGCTCCCTCCAGAGTAGCGGAGTTCGGCAGTAACAAGAAACCATTCCTGGGCACGTGGCGACAGAGAACCAGATCAGTCATTGGTGATACCCTTGGCCCGTAGCTCCTCTTGCACCCGAGCAAGATATGTAGGATCTGGATAGCCAAACCTGGGGGAAATGAAGACAAAAGTTTGTGAGCTTACCTTCCTTGATCTAAACTCCGGCAGTTTAAGTTACCCAATAGTGGCTTAACTTGGGATTCTCTGAAAGCTTCAGGAAAAATTCAGTGGGCAACTTCCCTATATTAAACTCATTTAACCAGGCTCTGCTGACTCTCACTGCCCACAAATGGGTGGAGAACTCGGGATCTGCTCTAGGCTATGACCTCGGTTCCCATTAACCCAAGAGGCACAAGAAACCTGATTGGTGTGAAGCAAGTGCACATCCCAGAACAATTTTCCTTGGAATGATGACCTCTGTGTAGGCTGGCTGGCTCCTATTCTAGAAGATGTAACCCTACTGTAGGGAAGGTTGTGTGATGGAATGGAATTATGAAGGCCAGGCTCAGGTAGATAATCATTTTCTTAGCTCGCCAGAACGGCGTGGGAGGAACAAGAGGATGAGACTGGCACCTCCCTGAGGAATTCACACTGTTGTGGCTGGCTGACTTGGGAGCTGGGGTTTTAGTCTGGGAAGATTCTTGCTAGAGGTTGTAGCTAATAAACATAGCTGGACTGAATTGGCATTGTCTCTTGGAGTTCCTTGGGCTAGGCCTGAAATCAATCTTCCCAAACTGAAACCCCAGCTCCCAAGTCAGCCAGCCACAACAGTGTGAATTCCTCAGGGAGGTGCCAGTCTCATCCTCTTGTTCCTCCCACGCCGTTCTGGCGAGCTAAGAAAATGTTTATCTCCCTGAGCCTGGCCTTCATAATTCCATTCCATCACAGGTTGTCCTAGAACATGTTCTAGATCAATGTTTCCCAATCTTTGCAACATTGAGATGTATGGACCAATTCCTAGTATTCTTAACAGCCATGCTCTAGATCCTGCTACGCTGCATACAGGTTCCTCATCAGATAAGCTGATATGGAAATTATTCTCCAAGATATAGAGATGCCTACAGTCAGATACCTCTGCAGGTTGAGGGAGAAAAAGCCTAGTTGGTGCTTCAATAATATGGTCTAAGCAAAAAAAGCAGGCTCAGTTCATGCAAAAGCTCGTTATACAATGTTGGCTAATCAAAGCTTTCTTCAGCTTCAGGCACACAGTATATATTGAAAAGAATCCAATGCAAAACAAAACAAAAAACCAAAACACAAACTAGTATAACAGGTTTGGGTTAGGAACAGATTCACGTTTTCTTTCACTCACATACAGGTGGTCCTCGACTTATGACCACAATTGGGACAAGAACCTCCATTGCTAAGTGATGCAGTCATTAAGTGAGTCATGCCCAATTTTACGACCTTTTTTGCCATGGTTGTTAAGTGAATTACCATGATCGTTAAGTGAATCATGCAGTCATTAAGTGAATCTGGCTTCCCCCTTAGACTTTGCTTGTCAAAACCCCCTGGGAAGGTTGTAAATGGCGATAACATGACCCTGGGATGCTGCAACCATTGTAAATACATGCTGGTTGCCAAGCACCCAAGTTTTGATCACATGACCGCAGGGATGCTGCGACAGTCAGAAGTGCAAGGACCGGTCATAAGTCACTTTTTTCAGTGCTGTCATAACTTTGAATGGTTGTTAAACAAATGGTCGTAAGTCGATGACTACCTGGGTCACTGGGTCAATGTGGCCAATTCGTAATTTCTCTCAGCCTAATCTATCTCAGAAGGTTGCTGCAAAGATAAATACACAGGTAACAAATTTATATGCCACACTGATCAACTTGAAGCAAAAGCGTGAATGAAAGTACATAGATACACATGGCAAGTTAAAAAAAATTCCTGACTGTAGCACTTCAAGAATACATGACATTGGAGCTGTATACCTGAAAAGCTCCTGGAGAGGGCAAAACAGCCTATTATTTAGAGAGCCAGCATATCAGAGGTAAGAATTCAGTCTAACATGCAATCTCTCTCTCTCTCTCTATTTATTAAATAAATAAATAAATAAATTCATATTCACACCAGCCTCAAGTGGGACAGTTCTGGAAACATCAAGTTTCACAGCCGTTATATGGATTAGAAGGTGTCTTAAATATCAAAGTGATGGCATGCTAGAAATTCATTGTTTCTGACTCAGTCTTAGAGTAAAAGTCTATTCTATGAAGTACCTCTTGGGTGTCCAAAGATGTCACTAAACTGTTTTCAATTTGTAACCTACTGAGACCAAATAGTATTGTTGCTCTCTATTGCCTCGGGACCTTGTAGCTTTTAATGCTATTGTTTGGGCTGACTTCCAAACAGCCTTTATAGTAAAGGCCGCCACCTACCCTTGGCAACCCCTTACTCCAAACCCTGCACCTTTATTTTATTCCCTCCCCTTCACAACCACAGCCACATTACATGGCAGTATCCTTACAGTTGGGGTCCCCCGGTGCAGTTGGTTTTGTGATGGATGTCATTCCAGGTGATGACGTTGGCTCGCCCTGTGGTCATTGAGGTACCGATAGTGAAGGTGAGCCGTTGATCAAAGGCCTTGCGGAAGAGCGCCAGCACTTTGTTGCCCTCAGGGCAGTCAGGTAGGTAAGCCACACGGGTGGTGCCTGGGTAGCGGACACCAGGATTGGGATGCTCCACCTGCAAGAGAAGGATGAATTCTGAGAAAAACCCTAACCATAAACAAGAAATGGAGGAGCTAACATATAGGCTGGGAAGCGCAGGTGAAATCTCCTGTCCTAACCCTGAGTCACTTGTTATAGTTGTAGCTGGCTGACTACAGTCCTTGTTTCCACTGGCATTGTTCCCCATACTACTGCCCACAAGATATATTGGACCAAAACTCCCATTGTACTCCCAGAGTCAATGGGGGCACCAAATTGGAGAAGGTTGCACTAGGGGCATTTGAGTCTACAAAAAGGGGAACAGTAGGAACAGAGACACCAGCTATTACTCACTTTCACAGCTTTGGTAAGAGAGTGAAATAGGGACAGTTCTTGCCTTTTAGGAAAAATGGAATCCAAATATAATTATGTATGGCTCTTCAATTTACAAAAGTACTAATTTTAATGAATATGCAGTTTTCCTTCATTCTTACCTAACCTGGCATTTTGGACTACAAATCCCAGTGTCCCCAGATACTTGACAGAGAGCCTAGGAAATGTAATTCAGCACATGTAGAAATGCAAAGGTTGGATAAGACTGCTAAAGACTATCAAACCAGCTCTTTTGTTTCAGGTAATAAATGGAAAAAACTTTTCTGATCTTAAATTAAAAGAAACTGAAATAGATAATTACTGTTAAAAAGATTTCTCTTTAAACCCCCCCTTTTTAATTATTATGGTATATCAATGTATATGGATCTTCTAATAACAAACAATGGTAGATTTTACACGCTAAAATGCCATTAAAAGCCAATACACCAGATGGATAGATTTCAGATTTGTTGGATCTGCTTTTGTTTTTACTCAATTCCCAAGGTCCACCAGCCAGACTCTAGTGAAAAAATAAATAAATAAATAAAAAGAGTCCAGGAGCTTGTTCTGAGAACCAGTCTTTCCTCATCCATGATCCTAGGCCTTACACATTTCAGCCATGTAATTTAGCTATGGGGAAAGAATCAAAAAATGTTTTAATGTTGCTCTTGTTAGCCAACTGGCAATCCAAAATCTTCCCAATTTAGATCAAAATTCTCCCAGAGATTTTACTGTAGATGATCATCCTTCCATAGCTGCAGCTATAATACAGTGTCAAACTTTTCAAAGATGAGTGGTTGGAGATGGTCACTGAACATTTTATTCTCTTATGTTACTATATCAACCACCTCTTCTCTTTCCCTGGGAAAGCATGGCCCTCCTGCTCACTGCCCCTTCCCTTTTGCATCCTTTCTCTGTCCTCATCAAACTGTAAAATCTACAGCTTCACCAATCTACAGAAGGCAAACAGAACAAAAATACTGAGGGGGGCCATTATTACAGGACTTCTCTGAAATTTTCCCAGTGCGTTTTCATCTGCTGTTCTTTCCCAAAAGGTATTATCCTGATAGATTATTTTCTTTTGTCTGCCTTGCGGTCACTTTATCAAGAGAGTGGAAAAATACTCTCATTCAAGAGCAGTGGGTCTAAGCACGCTGGGTAATCTTCAAATAATAATTTGGGTTTTAGAAGTTTTATCACATCTGGATGACCCCTTGGCTATCTTAAAAAATGGCAGGATCGGCTACTGGTAGGGCTACTGACTAGACTGGGAAGTTGAAAAACATCCAGAAGGAGATGGCAAGCTGTATCTATACTGCTACCAAGATGGCCATGTCCATCAAGTCTCCAAGAACTGGGTCCCATTTGAAGGAGACTTGACTTTTTCTTACTTGGATGTTTTCCTCTGGTTTCCTCATAAGTGCAACCGAGTCCAGTTTCAGAATTTTCATGCAACCCTGTGCTTACCTATTAGGAGTAAGACAGAGGGCTTATTCTAGGTAACGTTTCCAATGACCTCCGTAAGGAAAAGAAAGTCCATTGGATGAATTGTGCCTTGTGTTATTATCATTTTCATAGTTCAGTTCAAGGCAATAAATAAACTTGGCATGTTTCAACTAATGCTCCTGCATATTCTTAAATGTTACGTTTTTGGGGTAGCATATATTCTACATATAGATACTACCCTTCTTTTACTAAATTATTGATTCCAAAGGTTTCCTTATCCTCCAGCAGCATTCCATGACGTTTGAGGGACCGCAGCAAGAGTATGAGGGTTCAAGTAGAGGTATTTCTTCTGCGAGTTGATTGCTTGAATCTAGGCCATTTGCACAGCGTTTTTAAAATGGAGGAAGGCCTAAGAGAGGAAAGTGCAGATTTCAGGGAACCTCACAACTAATTTTGCAGGCTCAAGGAGCTTCAGTCTTGAACAGCAAGCTACCTCACTACTTAACAAATCCTTCTGCAATTCCAGGAATTCTGAAAAGCAGTTGGGAACATGGAATGTAGGCCACTGAGCATCTTTAGCTCATGGCAGATTTATTTCTTACCTGGGTATCACACCTCTTCTCCCCAGAGCTGAAGGTGGCATGCCTGCTGTGCCTTTCCCCTTCTCCCACCCGGCCATTTTGTTCTCACAACTACCTGCTTTGTGAGGAGGATGTGATTGTCCCAGAATCACCCAGGGAGTGCTCAGCCTGAGCTTTTCAGTCCTAATCTGACACAGACATCACTACACCCCACCAGCTCTTTCATAAAAACCTTTCACACATCTTTTTTATTTGCACATAGGAGAGTCTCCCCGGCCTGCCAACCATAAATTTCTGGCCTCTGGTTTTCCATTTGTCTCCTTCTACTTACAGAGAACTCTAAAAGCACAAGGCGAACATCTTAGCAGCTATAAAAATAGCTGGTAAAATGGCATCTTTTATTTCCTGATAAATACACCGTTTTCTCCATTTACTGTCTGCTGATCCTGCTCCCCTTCAAGAAGAGCAAACCACTCACAAACAAGCCACACCTAACCTCATAAATATTTTTCCCCACAACGAATGCTTCCTCCACCCTCAGATGTGCACCCTTTTTTCTGGTCAAGGGTCCAAAAAGTCAGCAAAGCCAGGACTAAAAAATTCTACATTTTAAAAAATTAAGATTACATTAAGGAAACATCAGTATTAATAACTGCCATCTGTTTGGTAACTTAACCCATGTCACATTAAACACTGCCATTTTTAAAGGAATCGGCAGGTTACGCATGTGACACAGACCTGGAACAAAGGTTTTTCTGCCAATTATCATGTTATGGTTCCTCATAAACCTTCATGCGTTCTTTTATGTGACTTCACCTAGGTCTGTCAGCAAGGTAGATGCACCAAATCTTCCTTGGCTAATCTCAAAAAACTAAACAAGATCAGACCTGATTCTCAGATGAGAAACCACCAGGAAATCCCACCATCCTTGGCTAATCTCAAAAAACTAAACAAAATCAGACCTGATTCATTCTCAGATGGGAAAACACCAGGAAATCGCACCACTTAGGCTAGATTAAGAAATTGAAAAAGCACTGCAGAAGAAAGGTAAACCACTTCCATATACTGTTGCCAAGAAAACATGGTCATGAATTGATTTTACCTTTATCTGTTACATCATCCTCCACAGTTGATGCATACGGATTTAGAGTCTTCAGGAAGACGTGGAAGGATGGCTTAAAGGCCTGCTCTTGAATCCTGTCATGCTTTAATGTAGCCTTACTCAACCTGCTGCCTGTGGAAAGTCTTGAGACTACAATTCTTAAAACTCTCAGCCAGCATGGCCAATTGACTACCCCGTTACGTATATACTCAGAGCAAAACACCATCCCACTTAACCTGTTTCCTCTCAACAGGATGGCAGGGAGGCAGGGCAATAATCACAAAACCCTAGGGTTGAAAGGGAGCTTGGAGGCCTTCTAGTTCAACCCTCTGCCCAGGGCAAAAGTCCTCAGACCAAACCAGTTAAATGGCTCTCCCACCTTTGAAAATCGCCAGTGATGGAGCATCCATGACTCCGGGAGCTAGGCTGTTCAACTGCTTAATAGCTCTAGCAGTCAAGAAATTCCTTCTTATATCAAGTTTGGATCTTTCACTACAAAACTTCTACCCATTGGTTCTTATCTTACTCTCGGGTGTTCTGGAGAATAAATCCACACCCTCTGGCCTGTGATCTCCCTTCATGTGTTGGAAAACTGTTATCATGCAGCCTTTGTTCTCATCTGAAAGCCTTTCAGGAAAAAAATTAATTCACCCCTCAAGTCAGAGGTTTCTCTCCATTCCTTGCAGCCTGCTGCTTGGAAAAAAGAGAAGAGCGTGTCAGAAAGAGAGAAAAAGAGGGCAAGTCCTAACTGTTTTTTGCTCTAGCCCCACCTATTGCTTACTTTAATTCCAATGTGTCCTCAAACAAATTCCTTAAGAGGGAAGATAGTCCTCGACAGTGAGAAAGGATGTCCGTTTCTGACTTTGGCCTAGTTAGTCCTACATGGGAGCTGAGGGTTCTGGGAGATGTAGTCCCAGCACAGCTGTAAGCTTCCAGAACAAGGAAGGTGACCCTGTGAAGACCATTTCCAAACAACAGAGAGAGGAAAATAGGAACCTAACTTACTCCTTGTATGCCAGGTGGGAAGACATACTGGATTATGATGGTGCCATACTTCTCATAACCAGGAAGCAGGAGACTCGAGTCCTTGGAGACCAGCATGCGTCCATTCTCCGGCTGGTTCCCTACCAGCTGCCCATAGAAGCGGCCACACATTGGGCAGGCTTTCTTGACTTGCAAGGCCCGGGTGATGCAGTCCTCACAGAAGGAGTGCTTGCATTTCTCCAAAGTCTTAATGTTCTGGATCTCCCCCAAACAGATGGGGCATTGGCTGTCCTGTTCTTCCTCCCCTCCCCTTGAGCAGCTGGCCATCCCTCCACTGCCACTGACTACTCTTGGCCCGGAGGTCTGCTGTCCTCGGGATATCAAGGCAGTCCCTCGACGATGGAGCTCCACAGCCCCATGTTCCTGGCTCTTCTCCATCAAGGCCATGCAGCCCATTAGCTCACTCTGGCGCTGAGCCTTCTTCAATTCCTTCTCTGTTTCCTTGAGCAGTGCCTTGAGAGCCTTACGGGCCAGGTAGAGGCCATTGCTTGGTCCATGGGCAGGCATGGTAATCTGCAGCACGTAGATCTCGGAAGTCTCACCATCAATCAAGACGCTGACTTTATTCTCCTCCTTCAACTTGACTAGTTTGGCAGGACTTTCCTTGGTCAGGAAGTCCCAGACGTGCTTATTTACCGTGAGCCTATTTTTAGTGGTGCCTCCACAAGCAGCCATCCTGGATAAAACAAATGATACTGAAAAGAGAGAGAGAAAGATAATCAAAGCTACAGAAGGGGCTCCTGGCAGAGGTACAGATGCGTGTACCCAGACAGACACCCATGTTGGTTTACTTTACCTCTACTGGCTCAGAAGGGTCAGGGACTTGGATGGTTTTATTATTTTTGGAAAAAATATTTGCTTTTGTTGAGCATTTCAACCCCATTAGCAAATGCTCAAGCATTTAGAATTCCTACTCCTTGTTTAGATGCAGTACATCCATCCTACATAATCATGTATTCATGCAGCCCTCTGTCAAACACCCCAAATCCTAAAACACTTGAAGAAACCACAAATCTGAGAGACAGAAGAAAAATAACTCTGACCAGGCAGGTGATTGATCCCCAACCTATACATTCTGGATTAGTTGGTCTAGGTCTTTCATCTTTTCCCTCCTCGTTAAAAATAGTGGAGCTGTTATCCTACTTATTTGGAGGATCCTGGATTGGCCAAGGTTGATTATGGTTACATTTTATTATTAAGGTGGGTGGAATAGGACAAAAAAGAAGAATCTATTTGTTTCAGTTCTCTCTGAATTCCTAAGCAGACTAACAAATGGCCAATTACCAACTGCAAGAATGGTTTTATAAAAATAAATCAGTGGAGTGTGCGTATGTGAATGGAATCAGAATTATCAGACCTGCTTTTTGCACTGGAGGGAGGAAAAACTCTCTGAATTCCTAAGCAGACTAACAAATGGCCAATTACCAACTGCAAGAATGGTTTTATAAAAATAAATCAGTGGAGTGTGCGTATGTGAATGGAATCAGAATTATCAGACCTGCTTTTTGCACTGGAGGGAGGAAAAAGCTATATTCACACAATTGCTAATTGTGTGAATGCCAGCTCATCTTCTTTGGCCCAAGCAGTAAAATTCTCAAGCACGGATTTACTGCACGGCTGCGAAACGCGTGTGTGTCTGGATATTGGTAAACTACCATTCCCAGTGTCCCTTGTTATTGGCTCTGTAGACTGAGTTTGTTAGAAACTGTAGTTCAGCAACATCTGGAGGACAATTTTCCTACAAGACTGAGAATCTAGTTGTGAAAATTTGGATTGGTTTAATTGACAGACCAATCTACTCTTGCATAATATGGATATCTTTCCTGTTCCATCACTTACACACACCTCTGCATATATGAAGACAGAGGATAATTAATAATTGACACAGAAATCTGATTTATACTTGGTCAGACCTAGTTTGCCTAATTCAGTGGCCACTGACAAAAAGAGCTTTTCAATGACTTAGACAGAAGTCTCCATGCATTTAGATTTTTCTTTTTTTAGTGGGACTGCCAAAATCCAAACCTGTGATTTATTTATTTATTTAGTATGCAAAGCATGGATGCTACTATTGAGCTATGGCCTCTTACAAGATGGTGGGCTAAGCACAAACTCTTGCATTTTGCCCAGACTGCCAGAAATTCCCACACTTGTAGGCAATCAGTGGGAAATCTATTAATGTTTTAAGTTTAAAACCTCAGCTACAAGACAGAAAATAAGATTTTATCTCCCACTATCTTTCAAGGGTAAAAAATTATTTTCAAATGATGATTTGCATAAACATTATGCAAAATTCTGAAACAAGGAGCACCTGAGATCATACATATAGGATCTGCAACAGAGAACAGGCTTATTCAAAATAAATTTACAGCCAGACCGTGTATTCCAAAGTTCTGCTCCTAAGCCAGTATCTGCAAGAGACCTTTGGGCATCTTAAGCAGCACAGTGCAAGTAATCAGAGCCCACTAGCAGCCCATGATGAGTAAAGGGAAAAAAAAAAAAAAAGAATTAAAAGCCTTTGGGGAGGTATAGTCTAAGAGAGGAGCCTGGGGAGATTAGTAGATGGAAGCCTAATTGGGCTGAGTGAAAGAGATAGATGCAACATAACCAGTGTGCTTAGTAAAATCCCAAGTGTTAGCTTTTCGGAGGCAAGTCCCAAAGAGTTCAGCGAGCTTTATACAATGTTTTCTAAGCTTTTGATAAGGGAGTCCATTTTTTAAACTGATCCTTCACACCAAGCATTTACTTTTCAAGCATATGTACTGTTACCTACAAATGACTTAAACAGCTGAGGTACCAAGTAGAAAAAATATTCTTTTTTATGGCACATAGGTACCGTTGGAATTCACCTCCACTATATATATACACAGCATATGGCTCTGGGATTTCCTGTTAGTCCCCCATCCAAGTGCTAAGCAAGCCCAACCCTCTGAGTTTGCAAGCCCTTGCCTAAACAAATTCATGAAAATTCAGCCCATTGATGGCTCTGAGCCTTGATGGTCGGGCAGTAGCCCAATTCCACAAGCTTCTTTCTCTGAATAGCCATTGCTATGGAATGCAGACAGGAAGGTGTTCTGTCCTGCTCCTACATTTCCCCAGAAACATCTGGCTGGCCACCGGGGAAACAAAATATAGTACCAGCCTGGGCAGATCACTGATCAGCTTTAACACGGCTCTTTTTTCTTTTCCTAGCATGACAACGAGCTATGCCCTGGCCAGGCAGCTACGCCTGTGAAGCTTTATTACACCTTTGGGGGAACTACAACGAAACTGAATGTATGGAGAACGTCAATCTCAAAGGTTACGATTTGCAGCAAGCATATTTTGTGCATGATGGCACTAATTCACCTGGAGTCCCTGCAGTCTTGGGGCAAGGGGTGCTTTTAAATTTAACATAATATTTTAGTGCACATTTATGTTAATTACTAGTTATACAGGCTGCTCTCCCCTTCCCCAGCATTTTCTGTACCTTGGTAACTTTCAAGACAAATGTCCATTCCAATAATAGTTTAAGTTATCAAAAGCCCATCATACAAATGGCATTAAGAAGCAACCAGAGGGCTTTTCAGATACAAACAGAAATGTTTTGTTCCCGAAATACATTGGTAAGAGTTAGGCAATTAAGACACCCCACCCATCCCGATCCTTGTCCAACTGGGAATGGAAGGCAATCACACTGCCAGGGCCAGCTGTGCCAGGGGTCCTAGGGTGTGTGGAAACGCCAGGTGTCCCCTCTAAAGGGAAGGAGCAGACGCAACGCCACAAAGGAGACTTCCTCTGGAGGGACGCCGGCAGGCAACCTTGCCGTCGTCGCCTCAGATTCCTACCTAGAATGAGCGGCTGGGCGGGAGCCTGGTTCAAGGCCTCCGGCAGATGAGCGACGATCCCTGGCAGCGCCAGAAAGGGATCTGCTTCCTTCTCCAGCCTCGAGACGTAAACGCCCCGGGATGTGGCACGAACGCTCGCGCCGGGAGCGCAAAGCCTCCAAGGAGCAGCGGCGGGCGGGGCGAGCGCTCCCCGCTCCGGAGAGGAAAGGCACCCCCACACACACACACCGCACGTCACCTTTCGACGGAGCGCGACGCCACCGCAGTACCGTACCTGGGGAGCCCATGAGAGAGGCTGAGAGCGAAGACCGGCCGGATGTGGGAGTTCAGCTAAGCTGCGAATCAGAAACTGCAAAAGGAAGAGGAGAGGAGAGGAGGCGGGTTAGAGCCGAGGCTGTGCGAGGAGGCGGCGCGGGGGGAGGAGAGGGCGTGCGTGTATTTATAGCTGGCGCGGAGGAGCACCGGTTTTCGAGCCTGGGCGCAGCCCTCCGCCCAGAGATGCTTGTTTGCAGGCCTGGGGAGGCTTTGGTGCTCTCTGGACTTGCTTGCAGGCGGTTCATTACCCAAACATCCAAGCTCAGAGAGCACCAAGGACTCCACGGTTCAACCTGAGCTACGGATATTCTCTTAATTGGAACTTTCCCTGAGCGCAAGCGAAGAAACTACGGCGTTGCCGTATAAACAAACAAACAACCCCCCCTTCCCTGTTTCGATATAACCCAGTAAATGCTATGGAGTTCAGTGGAGCCTCCTGCCTGGTAAAGGCGGCCCTAGCGTTGCAGCTTGCTGCCTTTGAATCGGGCATAATAAATAGATGGTTTCACTGCCCCCTCGGGATGGATGGATCTGTGGAGGAATAAAGACTCATTCAAAACCCAAGCGCTTTCAGTTCGGGTTTATTCTACTACAGTATTTCTCGTCAGGCTTCTCCAGGAGGCCATGGAGCTAATGACAGCTAGCATTACAACAAGTACCTCGGATGGGTGCCAAGTACTCTTGGCCCCCCCTTCCACGTTTTCATTCTGTGCAACCCCAGGCAAGGTTTGTCACACGTTTGGATGAAGCCAGACTAAGCCACGAGGTCATGGCTGACTCAAGGTGAACGTGTTGGAATTCATACTAGTCATGATGACTTAGGGCTATACAGCAATCCAATCACAGAATGGAATATAATTATGCTTTCTTGAATAAGCCATAGTTAGGTTTACTCATTGCTGTAAGCCATAAACCATGATTTATAGATCATAGCGGCTGAGTTCACACCATGCAAAACTAAAATCAAATGTGTGATCTAATCCTAACATATGTTGACTCTCATGTACCCATGACTCCTCTTTGCAGTAAGTGGACATTTTATGAAGGAACATACCACAGGAAATCTGGTGCTTTTTTAACTTGGGAGCTAAGTAGAACTGGCCAAATTTGTTCATGATGCCAAATTATTTGGAATATTATAGGGTTGTTACATTATAAAGAAACAGCAAGGAGCGCCACACAATCTCTCTAAATTGGGGAATGGCACATGGGATTCAGTGTAGTGCGATTTACAATGCAAGGGTAAAGCAATGCTTCCTAGAATAACAGACTTTCTAACTGCACATAGACAGATGCTGATGGGACGAGAGCTAGCACTGACTGGCCCAAAACAATCTTAGAGTCAAGGTAGATAACTGGATCAAAAGTTCAAATGAGTGTGTGTTCACTGTGAACAGGGCAAAATCCTTGTTTTCATTAGGAAAGCAACTGAAAACAAAAAGGCGAAAACAGTAATACAGGTAGTCCCCGGGTTAGGAACCCCTGGGTTACAGACGACCCATAGTTAAGAACAGAGCCTGTTGTAGCAAAATTTGAGTTAAATACACAATGATTCAAGTTAAATATACAATGGTTCAAGTTAATTACACAAGACTACTTATACCATATTATATAATAATACTGTTCCGGTTACATACAAATTTGACTTAAGGACAGACCTTGGGAATGGAACTCATTCTTAAACTGCAGACTACCTGTACTATATTGTATACGGTTTTAGTTGCCAGACTTCAAAATTGGGACTGCAGGTCTGGAAAAACAATCAGCCAACTCCTCTATGAGAAGGATTCCAAATGTATTCTTTTTAAGGACTTAAAAATGGGAAGGAGGGATATTGGTAAGATTTATCAAACATGCAATTGTGCAAAGTATGGATGGGAACACTTTGCTCCCTCCCACATGAAATTAAAAGCCAAGGTCACCTAACGATTCAAAACAGGAGAAATTCGAGAGAGTTAAAGTCCTTCAGAGGGTAAATAGATTCCCAACCCTTCTGGGCCAACAGGTGTATTTGGAATGTTAAGACCATCTTGTGGGCACTCACATAGCATCGCTCCCATCAAGGGCTTGGTTGTTCCAGAAATAGTTACTATAGTGGGTACAACCAGTCACAAGGCACCTATTTTTCAGGCAGCAAACTCGAGTTTGTTCCTTGCTACCCCCCACCCCCCACAGCCTCCTGGGATGTTCCCCAGTGATCCTGATGTAGAATACCTTCTCCCTCTTTGTTTTCCTTAGCACATGGGCCCCCTTCCAAAGGAAACATTGGGCAGCAGCAGATTTCCATCATTTTAATTTTTTAAGAATGCCTATGGGTCCCAGAGCATTCTTATAAGTAACAATGATACAAGAGGCTGGTACCTTGATTTCCAGAATGCTCCTCCTGCCCAATCCATTAAAAACTAAAGTTGAGTGAGGCAGGAGGCTAATGGGAATTAAAAGTAGTCTTGGGCATCACACCTGGATCTCAAGTTCTATCCACTGGAAAATTTAGCCACCCACCTGGGTGGCTTAAAAACTTGTTATTAGACAAATTCATGAAGAGTTAACTTCTGGTATCAGTGGCTACCAATCATAGTGACTGTAAGTGTACTTTATATGTAGCATCAGAGGCAGTGTTGTCTCAGTATGCCAGCCATAATTGGCTTTTATGAGAAGGAACTGCCAAACTGATCCAGCAATAGCTGCTCTTATGATTTTAATTTGGAAACTGAAACATATAATGCAAACAGAATGCCTCTGTACAGATTCTCTTTCTGCTATGAAGGCTTGGCCGCCAATGGCATGGAAAGCAAAACACAGCACAAAAAGGCTCTACGTAGAAATGACTTCTATGGAGCTCAGCCTATGGAATCCTCCATGACTTGCATGCGTATATTAATGTAACCGCATCTCCTTCATTGGGTACCTTGATAGTGAGAAGCAGTCAGGGCATCAAGCCATGTACTGTATAGACTCAGAAAAACAATTTCATTTGCTCACATACTTCCCAGGGTTTCTCTTCATTCCTTAACTGGGTGTTCTAAAAGAACACACCATGTTATGTCCCTCCAGGGAATCTGCTCTTGGCCATAATAGCCTCAAAACCCTTCCCTGGATGCCTCATCAACATCACTACCCAGGAAAGGTCAACCTCTCAGAATTTATTTTAAAAACTGGATTTGGTCAGTGACAATCTCCAAGTCAAATGAAAGTTGGGTTGCAAGAGGCAAGATGGGAAAACAGTGATCCCTCAATGACAAAGCAAGTTGTGTGGTGAAATTGCATCCCTCTGCAAATAAAGCCCCCTGGATGCCTTTTGGTCCTTTTATTTTAATTTGAAAACACTGCACTCAGCCTATGTTCAGGAGCGTCTTGGCTGCTGTCAAAACCCCATGTGATATTTATTTGATTATAAAGCCTGTCAACTCTCCATCAGCATGCCATGGTAGCTGGGGATGAGGAGTTGCAAGCCAATATGTATAGCTGTGGTGCACCAGGTTGGGGACAGCTGGTCATAAACAATTAAAGGACCCTAATTACTAGGCAAGTATTTAGGCCAAAAGGTAATAGAATAAAAGGGGTGGGGGGGAAAAACCCACAGAAGTTGGTGGTTCCCTGCTTACCTTATGCCATAAGCATTATGAAGGATAAAGAGCTTGTAAACTATTTTTGGTGATATATTATCCAAGAGTGAACTTTTCTTAAATGGTACTGCTTATGTTGCCTCCACCTGAAATGGCACCTCCACATAGGTGTTACTTAAATGCTGAGAAGAACTGTTTCATCTCGCAGAGATAGTTGTGTTTCAGAGATGAGTATCCTGCAGTCCAGCCCAATCCAGGATGAGGAAAATTAATTTTAGAGCAGAGAGGGGAGGGCTCTCTCCTAAGATCACCTTTTCACCATTCAAAACTCTTCAACAGCACCTCCAGTCTCAGCATCCTTTTTACTTTTTATGCTTCGGGGCAGAGAGTCCCATTATACTGTGACAGATGGATTTCACACGGATGTTTGACCAGCAGATGGCCTTAGTGCATAACAGCAGCAGGAAAGTGCTGAAGGGTTCTATGAACAGAAACAGGGCATTAATACCCCAGTTGGTTGCTGATTTGGACCAAGAAGATGTTGCCACAATGAGAACTATCATGGGACTGATCTTGAAAGTTACAGAGGGTTGTAGCTGTATTCCTTGATCTGGAACCCTCCAGATGTGTTAGCATTCAGAAACTCGAGAAATTCTGGAGGGTACCAGATGAGAAGTCTGGTATATATAAGTCTGATGCCAGCTAAATGAAATACCAGCCCAGGATAAATAAAAGCTCAAAATAAGAGCCTGACTGTGCACATTACACTAAATTATGTTTGGTTTTGTCTTAACAGTTGGGTACACACAGCACACGTAACCAAATCAGTTAAAAACTTAAGAGCTGTTTTTTGCACAACATATTAAGCTGGTTAGTGTTTACTTTGATACATTTTTTGTGGCTCAGCATATTATGTAAATCCAGAAAATGGATAATTCAATAACCCAGGTAAATACTGGGCAAAACCAGTCATTGTGTTGCTTAAACACAGCCACAATACTTTGTAAACCATGATTTATAGTTTAGCAGGTTGAGCAAATACAGTCAATTGTGCTTTATTCAGTAGACTACAGTTAAGCAAATCATAGCTTAAGATGATGTATGAACCCAGTCTCTCACTGGAATTCATCCTAAAATGACTCTCATCAATATGGCTTAAGCAAAGCCTGGTAAATACTTTGGTGGCAGGGCACCTTCTCAATACATGCAAATATGGACATCTATGGGGGCAGAGGGCAAGTGATGAAATGTACTGAACACTGTCATTGGGTAAATGCCAGAACTTACATACATCAGGATACAAGTACGTAACTCTGGCATTTACATGATGATGTCACTATGCCTGTGTTATGATTTGGCATAGTTATGGTTTATTACAGTTGCTGCTAAAGTTAGGGATTTCCCAAATATCCCCCTTGGGGTAGAATATACTCCCACCCTATACAGTTAGTTTAGCATGGCAGATCAGTGCATACATTCTTATAAACTCTGCAAAAATATTCTGGCAATTATAAATGTATAATCAATTGTTTGAGCCCTGATGAACACAGAGATATATGCGTTCCAACTGTGTGTCATCAACATGGAGTTTGACTGTAGAATGCTTTTAATATTTTAACACACAGAGTCAAAACAATATTTTTAAAACTGTAATACATTCATAGCAAGAATATCTGGGAGGGAGGGTCAAAAAAGTCAAGATGGTGGCTGTGACAGCATAATCAAGCCCCAATCCCTTTTTACAAGTGCCATGTTTATGACACTTATAAAACAGATGGGGCTACAACTGTGCAGCCATAGCTACTATCTTGACCTTTTCGATTTTGCCCTGTGAATTCCCCGATCCATAAGGTGAGCCCAGCTTCACGATTTGCAACAAAGAGAAACATACCAATTAATCATTCACTGATTCAGCTATCAGTTTTGACTCATCCATCCATTTCAAACAGGTAAACCACCTTTTATACTTTTGAAAGATTGCATCCATATTTATCCATACAGTATATCCTTACAAATCACAGTTTTAAGCATAGTTGCAAAGCTACAAAGATCAAAGGAGTAGGAAAAAGAGTCAAACAGACATACAGAAATGTACAGCCATCATATTGCTGGGTATCACCCAATAGCTGCCCTCCACAACAGGAGATTCCCACTTCAAGCAGTAGTACCACACACACAGACACACACAAAATTCAAGTAGGATTTCTAAGAACTTGCCTTGGAATGTAAGATACTCATCAGAATCCAAAAATGTAGTTTCTGTCATTCCCAATCAGCATATTTATACATATCTCTGACTGCCTCAATTAATATACTTAAAAAAATCTCTGTCTATCTAATGATTAGCTAAAAAAGATAAGGAACACAATCTAATATTTATGTAACTGGCATTTAGGTAGTTCCAGAGACTGCTGGGTTCCCCAATGAAATGTGAAGTGGAAAAATTTCTCTGAATGGTAGGTGCTGATTGTTCCCAACTTGTCATTGCAGTATGCAGCCACAGGAAAATATTAGATGCATTTCAGCTCTTATGCAGTGGTAATGAAGTTCCACAAACCTGGCCTGGCCTGGATGGGACATCAAAATCTATGCAAATGAAATATGCTTCAGGCACTTTTGGCAAAGTAGCTAAAGTAAGATAAACAAAACACAGCCAGCTACAAGCCAACAATTCCAATATTTAGCTTTCAGTCAATTCTAACAACACTTTTTACAAGATATATTTAAGAGGATGTCCCATCTGATCTGGTCATACTTGCTGAAAAGCAAGCCTCTTCTGCTTTCAGGGGGATTTACTTCTTCTTAAGAATATACAGGATTTTAAACACATCACAACTGCAAATAAATTATCTACCCCACAAAAATGTTAACAGCCTGCCTGTTCATACACTGTTCATATACATGTTGATAGCCTGAATGTAACTATATATAAATATATTTTTTCTGTTTTAGGAAAAGCTTTTTTGATTAAAAAACATTTTATTTGCCACAAGGGAATGGCCACATCAAGAGTTAGTTCTGTGCAAACAGAACTTTTTACATGGAAAAAGACATAATTTAATCTATTTTATGAATTACTCAACAAATGCTACAGCAAACATTTATATACTAGACCTTTGACTCAAAGGGATCTGGCTTTTCTTCCATTTTGGAGCTAAACAGGGTCCCAATTCTCATTTGCAGAATCCCTCACCTTGTCATGTACTGCGAGCACAGCCACTGCATTGTTTCCTTGTCCTGGAAGATCTTTTCCTTTACTGTTGCTACTGGATAGCATGTACAGGGGCAGGCAATAGAGAGAGTGACAAGATGTGGTTTCCCAGCTGAGTTCTCTCTAAACAGGGCTTTCACTAGAGATCATACTGCTCTTCTTAAAAGCTCTAGATCCAGGTGCCCTGTACTACAGTTCCCATCATCACAGGTCACTGGATGTGTAGGAGGGGCTTGTGGGATTTGCAGTCAAACATCTGAAGGGTATAAAGTTGTCTGTCCCTGGAACAACGCAGTGTCCACTTGTGGAAGTAACCCACACAAATAAAAACACAACCACCAGTTCTTTGGAGGGGAGTAATCCTTTAAAAATAAAGAGACTGCCTACACAGTCACCTGCATCTGGCAAGGAATCTGATGTAACGAACCCTGCTTCTAAAGCCCTTAACCTTCCCAGCTCAACTCCACCCCAAGAGAATTCAACAGTGACCAAATCTACAGCTTCTACTCAGTTACAAACAGCATGCATCTGTACACAAGAAATGCGACCCCAACTGCAAATCCAATTCCTGCCTACAGTCTTTCCTCAAATCATCAAGATGGAGGGACAGGAGGGTGAAGTGCTTGCTCTCTAGAATTCAATGCCCTTTGTGAGTGGCAGCACATTACAGGCAGCCTTTTAGACAAATGCAGCCCAGTCAGTGAGAAAGTCCTCAGCTTGGAAATGCAATCTGTTTTGTCGAGGAAGAACAGAAGAATTCAGCAGGCATCTTTGCTTACTGCTGCTAGAGCTGACCTCTACTCTCATAATAATTAAGTTTACAGGAGCCCTGCTCAACACTGGACCCTTAAATAAAAACTAGTGTGACCTTGGGCAAAACCAGGCCTTTACATTTCAAGGGACCTCACCTGTATAATAAAAAAAAGGCCTCTTCCAGGCCTCATTGTCCCTGGAAAGAAGGAGGAGGCAAGCTTTTGTGTGGCCCAGAATTTGTCACTGTGAAGATGCGAGCGAAGATACTACAGTACTGCAATTGTTGTAAAGAGGTAGAAAAAGCTGCTTTCTAGAGTACAGCCATTTGAGAGGTGGGCTACTTGTGAGGAAGAAAGCTCATTTAAAAAATCTTCTCTCCCCTCCCCCTTCAATTTGGGGAGAAAAACTGCCAGTTGCAATAGTGGAGAATCTATATAGGTCAGGGTTGAACTGTTGGTGGTCTCTGAGCTTGGCTTTCATTTTACAGGCATCACATTGCATACTCTTTAACTTCTTCACTGCATTCAATGTCCCAAAATATTACCCAGCACGGCAATGAACCATCTATAAAATGAAAGCCAAGCTCAGAGACCATCAAGAACCTAACAAGGCTGCCAGTTTTAGCAGAGCTGCTCACTAGGAGCCATGGAAGACTAGGCCCCGTAGCCTCGGAGCCCCAAGGAGAGGTGTGGAACAAAGAGAGAAGGAGGGGGCTTGGGACGAGAAACAATGGCTGGAGGAAAAAGGGCCCTCTGGAGGGAAAAAGCTGTCAGATCTCTTTGCCAACCCCCTGATCCTAGTCATGTCTATTTTCCTTATCTCCCACATACCCAGAGATACCCACCAAAATCCCAACCCCCATTTCTTGGGACTTCTCTACCACCTTCAAGAGCCACCTATGATGCACAGAGGCAGAGGGTGAAGAATATCCCCCATCCCTCCTCCAAGGAGAGAAAAAGTGGGCACTTAAGTTCACGCTCGCTTGACCAATAACGCTGCAAAAAATCATCCCTCTGTCGCCTAGGGAGAGAGAGAAGCAGCCTTGGTGCACCCGCCTGCTGGTCCTCACCAAACCTAGGAGGTTTGACGGGTAGATGCATAGATAGGCAGGTCGTTACCTAAATCACCCCGGGGTGTCTGTGTGTGTCTGTGTCTGTGTGTGTCTGTGTGCTTATCTCGCCTAAAAGTCCTTCCCCACTAAAACAAGCGACCATTCCCTCCTCCCTCCCTCAACACATAAACCATCCTTTAGGCAACACCCCTGCTGCAAAGCCAGCTGACAACACACAAAGGGACTGGCTGCTGCAGCTGCTGTGGCGGCTGCCTGAATATGCAGATGGCCTCTGATCAATGCGCCACATTAGGATGATGGTGATCACTCTTAAAAAAAAACAAAATGAAAAGGACAGCCACCCGGCCAACCAAGCCGGAAAGCGCGCCGAAGCAAAGCCCACCTCCCTCTGCTGCTCGCGCCCCATCCCCACCCTGTCCCCAGCCTTTTTGTAAAGGCACCCCTATTTTGCAATCGGCGCCCCCCAGCCGACGCTGGCACCCACCATAGCGGAACAACCGAAGGTGGCAGGAACGGTCCATCCATCGAAGCTGCAGCTGCTGCGTGCAAAGACGACGTTGCAAAAAGGGGTGGAGGACGGGGTGGGACAGGAGAGCGAGGCAACGAGGACCCCAAGGCTGAGGACGGGGCTGACGAGGCGGCCTGTGGCGCGTCCGAGAAAGCGTGCCGGCGCCGCTGCGCTCCTCAAGGTCTCCCTCCCCGCCAAGCAGCCATCGCCGGGCGGGTCACGTGGCGCCTCTTGTTGCTGGAATGATGGCCATGGCCATAGCCATAGCAACCACGCGCCGGGCTGGCGGAGCAGCGAGCGCTGCCTGGGCGCGGAATATTGTAGGCGAGCGCGCGGAGCAGCAGCTTCGGGCTTCTCTTTGCGCAGAGAGGAGGCAGCGGCGACAACAGCCGCGCCGCTCGCGCCTCTCTCCCGTGCTCTGCTCGGTTGCCATTTGGGAGGCTGGCGGGACGAGATCCAAGTACATCCAGCAGGGACCGCTCGGCTTGAGCAGCGCCTATTCCGGAGTAAGTCCCTTCCTGTTAAGGTTCTCCCCCGCTTACTTGAGAGCAAACGAATTGGTGTGGCTTAGTAGGTCAAGTGCGATGGAGTTCCAGTGGTGTTTGGCTGGGACTCACGTTTCACCGGTAAGCAGCGCGGCCTTCTGCAGAGACCCGTGCTGGTGGACCCAGAAGTCAGTCGCCCTCCAGTCAATGCAGCTCACGCACTATGGATCGCTAAGAAGGTTGGAGCCTTAAGAACATCCAGGGGCTTCACATACATTAATTAGCTCCATAATCCAGCTTTTTCCCCAACCTGGTAACCTTAGTGGCTGGAATAATTAAATTCCATATAGAGCAGGGAACAGAGAGAAAGTGGACAGGTAATAGACCAAGGGTCTCCGATTTGCAAATCCTTAAAAATACTCATTTATATTCTTGTAACTGTTAGAATCTTTGTATCTGATAACGATGTAAACTCATACATTCAGGGTTGAGGTCACCATCCCCCCCCCCCGTCTAGTTGGTAGACTTTACACAACAGAAATCCTGCAAGAGTGAATTTGACTCCTCCTTCCATAATGGAAGATTATCTGTATTATTTCCCTATTGAAGATGGAGAGGCATGGCCCATAACAACTTATTCAGGGGTGGCTAGCAACTCCAGGACTGCAGCAAGATTCAATTAGTTGGGGAGGGGAGATTATGCTCCCCTCTTAATTACCACACCAGTTCTTATGCTTACAATATGCAATAACTGTTCAAGAACTAAATAGAAGGGCTGCAATCCTATCCCAAGGAATTTAGGCATGTCTACCTCCAAACAAGATCAGGCTGTGCATTTATAACACTCCATGGAAGAGTGACATTGCAAAAGAATCCCAGGGCAACTTATTGTTATTATTAGCTACTGTCCAACTTGGGAATCTTTTGCATCTCAAAGGATCAGTGGATTGAGGTGATCTTAATCCATTTAGATACAGAGACTGTCTTGACACTAAACTGAAGAGGTGATACTAGTAGACAAACAAGGATTGCAAACTATTTTTGTATTCGGTCTCAGTTAAGAATGGAACTCTTGTCTGCAAAGAGGGTTTTGCAGGAGTATAAGCTCCTGGTCGGTTTTCTATAGGAATGGTTAAACTTGGATAATTAAACAAGTAATTAAAAAGCATGAATCCTGCCAAACTGCTATGTCATCTTTACAAATCAAGCCAGCTAGGAACAAGATCTCCTGCTAGTGAAGGAGGCAAGCCAAACAAGAGTTTAATATCTACAGTTACTTTTCAAATTAACCCTGGTTCATCTCAACATCATAACGTCCAGCTGAATTCTTTTCCTGATGCTTAGATAACTTGAATTTTTTCTGGAAGTTCAGAAATGTTATAAATAAGTTAAAAAAATATTTTCAATTCAAAAAGCTGTGAAGGGCCAAGGAAAGTCTTTTATTCTGTCATTGAAACACTGAGTCCATCCTTCTACCCTGCTAGGTTAGCAGAATACAACAGCGCAGCTGGGCACTTCATACAAACAACTTTTGGTTCAATAATTTATTTTTAGCCATACAACAGTAAACCAGAAATACACATTGTATACAATTACAAAACACTGAAAGAGGCTGGAAGGAAGACAGCCCCACAGCATAAATGTATCTCCATGGCACAGCCTTTGTTGTGTTGAGAGCTGAAATGACATCAGTCTCAATACATCAGTAATGGGGCAGAAGGGGAAAAATGAAAAACCATAAAGCAGCCTCCATGTTTCAGGTCCAGAGCAGCAAAATGAGCAGCACTGTAAAACAAAACCATGGCTAGAGTTTCCAGGTAGGGAATCCTAGCCCTTGATGTTGCTGAACTATAATTCCCAGCATTCCTCACCAGTGCTCATAGTGGGCTGGGGTTATTGGGAATTATAGTTCAAAGACAGTTGGAAAGTGACAGCTTCCCCACACTGGTAGGACAGCTACTAGAGAATGTGAGATCTCTTAACCAAGTCAATAATAAATGAGTGATGATCATTTAATTTATCGAGTTCCTTGTCTACATTCCTCACTGTGCTAAAGGAAGTATCTCCAAGAATCCCCTCTCTGCTGAATAAGTGAATGAAAAGGGATATTCTTTTTAATGCATCTGTTAGCTCCTTAGTTTATAGCGATTTCCTCCTTCACTCAAGAGGCTTTCTGACCAGCTGCTGAGGCAGGCTACATTTTCCCAAAATACACTGGCTTGCCAATTTGATATATACACAAGAAACATATAGAGCCGTTATGCACAGAAAAAGAGATGCTGCTTCTCATAGCATCCTGAAACTGGGTGTGATACCCTCCCTACCCTGCAACACTAAGCAAAATAAATGAGGCTTGGTCCGATTCCCACTTCAACATGGAGGCTTATGTGATCTAAATTGAGGATAAGGAGCCAGAGGCCCTCCACATGTTACTGAACTCCAACTCCCAACATTCCCTGCTCCTACTGGTCATGGTATCTGATGCTACTGGCAGTTCACCAACATCTGGAGGCTCGCTTTGACCTAAATGTTAAAGCTTTATGATCTAAATGTCGAGGACTTTCATCCTCAGCATCTCTCAGAAGCTTTCGAATTTAGTACTATACTCTAGTGAAGCACAGGTAACTTAGACATACCTTAGGCTGCTTTGTGGGTTACATCCACTCATTCTGGGCCATGTGCCCAATGGAATTATGGACACTCTTGTATACATTACCCCAAGGAAAAGAGTTATTCTGTCCTTCCCCCAGTCTCCCTCTGACAAGGGAGACACAAAGAGCTCTACGGTATGTAAAATGCTCCATCAGGGATCCAGAGGATAGTGCTATTACTCAGGAGTTGACTCCACATCTGTTTGGCAAACACAAAGAACCTCCCAAACCCTGCTTCAATTCTTATTCTCAACTAGAAAAGGGGAGGAAAAAGGATGTGTGATAGCACTGGGCCCTAAAAGAATTTTTCTCATTAAAAGCAACACTTGGGGCACAAAGTTTCAAGAAACTGCAATTCTACATGGAAAAGAGCTCAAGGAATGCTGGATTCAGTGCTGGGCTGTTTTCTTTAGCAGGAGAGATTTCCATTATTGATAGCAGAACTAGATCGGAGCAAAACTATTCACAAGGATGGGGCACAATGTAGTCTTCCATCAAGGGTTGTGTGTAGGGGGATGGGGAAAGAGGTACTGAACTGGTGCACGGCTTTGAAACAGGCAGTACAAGGGATATCAGGATAAAATATCTGGCTGTGTAAATGGGGAAGATTCCCTTCAACCCCCTTCTTCCAAGGCACGACTAACTTCGTATTGCATATTATTCTGTCTCAACATTATCCTGCCCTAAATGATGTACCACTGTTACTATTTAAAAGAAAGGAAGAACTCAATGTTTAGATAAAAACCAGCCACTCCTCTTCCTCCTGCAGGGAAGGAGAAGCAGCTTCCCAAAGCATTCATAGCCAACTTCTTTGGTACTCTGGATCATTTCTCATCTTGACAGAAGATCAGAGTTAAGGCACTTGGTTCAGCAGCTGTCCCTCAGTCGCCAGAGTGGGACTCATCTGAAATCAGTCCAACTCCCCTGCTGACCCCAGGATAGCAGGATAAAAACTATCCTGCTTACCGAGAATCAGGGGGCAGGGTGAATGACAACTACAAGTGTGCTGAAAAGCTTTTGATTTGGGCCAACAAGACATAGTGAACAACCGTTAAGCAAATATATTGGTGACAAAGTCCAGAAAGCGCTTGGCGTATTGTTCTGGATGCACTGTAGAGATCTCTGCACCAGCCTGTAGGGGAAGACAAAGTGTCAACAACCACCACAAATCAGCCCCCTTAATTCCTAATCATTACAGGGAAAGCAACATGGCATGGGCCATGAATATTGGAGACACTGGGGATATAGCACCTGAGTCCTTCCAACACGAGTACTTCCAGAGAGCCAATCTGGTGTAGTGGCTAAGGTGCTCGTCTAGAAACTGGGAGGCCATGAGTTCTAAGGCATGAAAGCCACCTGTGTAACTTTGGGCCAGTCACCCTCTCTCAGCCCAACCCGCTTCACAGGGTTGTTCTTGTGGGGAAAATAGGAGGAAGGAGCATTAGGTATATACACTGCTTTGAGTTGTACAAAATAAATGTGGGATATATATCTAATAATAAATAAAATGTATTGATCAACTGCTATTCACATGCATATTATCCAGTGCAAGTATTTCTGACCCAGTGGAACATCCCTCTTGCTCCTTTTGTTGAATCCATTATATCTGCTCTTTGTCACCTTCCCCTCAAGGAAATGCCCTTGTAGCTACAAAACACAAAGGACATTGCCCCAATGGTACAATAAAAATAACCCTTCCATGAGTCGGCCACAGTGAATAGCATTTTTTAAAAATTCTATCATGGAGGGGGCAGTCCTCCTGCCACTGATGCAGTCTTTCCATCTCACTTCCTTCCTTGGCTTTTAGACTGTAGCTACAAAACTCACATAGGTTGTACTCTTCAGGACACAACCACTCTTTGATTTAACAAGCTAGATGAAAACAAAGAGTATCAAGAGTTATCTCAGATAACTAACTT